CATAAAAATAATTTTCAGTTTAAAAATTGGACGAGCAATAAAATACCTTTATGTTGTTAATATGAGCATTCTATTTTTATACTTACCCTATTTGAGCACAAAGATTTTGCATTAATGGAATCTTTGGAACATCTCCAGGCCTTTGACAAAAATGCTAAAAGGGAAGCTTAAAATGTCTAGAGATATGATCTTTTGCCTCTGAGCCATTGGAACACATCCAATATAAAAAGCTCTTCTCATTGCAGTTAATTTCTTTGTTAAATAATTTGTCTCCTAAAAAAACCAATGAATTCTTTTTCTCTGAGAACCGTCATTTAGTTATCTCCCTTTCTTTTTTCAGAAAGTTTCTTTGGAATTAGTAATATACAACTACCAATTAAATATAATTTGGTATCAAATTATACAAAATATACAAACTGTACTGTATTGAATTATTTGCTTCTAGTGGGACAAATAATACATTAAAAAGAAAGTAATACTTCCACATCTCACAAAGTTTTCATTCTGATTTAATTTCTCTCTTTATTACCACTCAGGCCAGGTGTGGGCTGTCTGTGATCCCCAGCCCCATTTTATTTCAGCCCCCAGTGCGGCCAAAATAAGGGAATAATTCACTAAATCTTCATTAATCCTCTTTAATATTTCAAAATTAGCACCGGAAGCTCTCTAAGCATATAAAAAGTTACAATTATCAATTAGTTGCACACAAAACAGTTTCATCATCATATCCTCCCATACTACCACCTCGTACAATACTAGACAACACAGTATCAACAGTAGAGACCTTCAAATTTCTAGGTTCTACTATATCACATGACCTAAAATGGACACCTAACATCAAAAACATCATCAAAAAAGCACAACAAAGAATGTTCTTTCTGCGCCAACTCAGAAAGCTCAAACTGCCCAAGGAGCTGCTGATACAGTTCTACAGAGGAATTATTGAGTCTGTCATCTGCACCTCTATAACATCTGGTTTGGTTCTGCAACCCAACAGGACAGATACAGACTTCAGAGGATTATTAGGACTTTAGAAAAAACAATTACTACCAACCTGCCTTCAGTTGAGGACCTGTATAGTGCACAAGTCAAAAAGAGGGCTGTGTAAATATTTACAGACCCTTCACATCCTGGAAATAAACTGTTTCAACTCCTTCCCTCAAAACGACACTATACAGTACTGCACACATCAACTAGACACAAGGACAGTTTTTCCCCGAACACCATCACTCTGCTAAACAAATAATTCCCTCAATGCTGTCCAATTATGTAGAAAGTCTGCATTACTATTACTATTAATCTTCTCATCCCCCCTTATCACCCACTTGTGGGAGGGGATTCTATTCTATTCTATTCTATTCTATTCTATTCTATTCTATTCTATTCTTTGAGTCAGTTTTCTGGAAATCACATTTGCAACATACCTCAACAGCATCAACATATATTCTTAATGTCTAGAATTAAAACAATCCCAAGTATGTGTTGGTACCTTATATGTACCTTGTAGTTCACAGGAAATAGGCAATTGTTTTTGGACTTGCTTGTTAATGGTCTTTAGAATGGAATGGAATGGAATGGAATGGAATGGAATGGAATGGAGCGGAACGGAACGGAACGGAACAGAATGGAACAGAATAGAATTCTTTATTGGCCAAGTGTAATTGTACACACAAGAAATTTGTCTTGGTGCATATGCTCTTGGTGTAATAAAAGAAAAGATACATTCATCAAGAGTCAAGAATCATAAGGTATAACACTTAATAATAGTCATAGGGTACAAATAAGCAATCAAATCATACTAGGAAACAGTCAATATAAATTGTAAGGATACAAGCAACAAAATTACAGTCATACAGTTACAAGTGGGAGGAGATAGGTGATAGGAGTGATGAGAAGATTAATAGTAATAGTAATGCAGACTTAGTAAATAGTTGGACCGTGTTGAAGGAATTATTTGTTTAGCTGAGTGATGGCGTTCAGGAAAAAACTGTCCTTGTGTCTAGTTGTTCTGGTGTTCAGTGCTCTATAGTGTCGTTTTGAGGGAAGGAGTTGAAACAGTTTATGTCCGGGATGTGAAGGGTCTGTAAATATTTTCACAGCCCTCTTTTTGATTTGTGCAGAATACAGGTCCTCAACTGAAGGCAGGTTGGTAGTAATTGTTTTTTCTGCAGTCCTAATTATCCTCTGGAGTGTGTGTCTGTTCTGTTGGGTTGCAGAACCAAACCAGACAGTTATAGAGGTGATATGATCCTAGCTAGCAGATTGGCATATGCATGAATGAGATAAACCTATCTTTACTTTGAACAGGAAATGTTGCAGTGGCATGGATAGTAGTAACCAGTCTAGGAATTCTTTATCTTACTAACAAAGGTTATTATTGGCTGGGAAGGTAGAGTCTGTTTGGGGACAGTTGCGGTGTAGAAGATTCCAACATGGAGTGTAGTCATGATCAAGAAAAAGATGAAAAAAAGAAAGATACTTTGGATGTCTAAAGGGGAAATCATTGTTGGGCTGTTTTCAAATACTTTTTTGTATGATGCAAGCCTCAGTAACATAACGAATTGTTTCTGCTGCGTGTGCTTTTATTAGAGTCACTACTATGAGATGACATGCTGTATAAATTGTTTAAATAAATACAGACATAGACAAATGTATTTCAGTAGTGTCCCAAGATGCTTTTTCAAGAGGCAACTAGACTTTCTGGTTTTTCTTTGAAGATGTTTAGCTTCTCATCCAAGAAACTACTTCAGCTGCATAGACATTTCAGCACTGTGTTGAAGCTCTGGCCCCCTCAGCTGCATCTTTCTAGCCTTCTTCCTGTACTTCTGGTATATGGCTAATTGATGAGAACTAAATCGCTTGAAATAGATCTATACTAGTCTCCCTTTATTTCTTTGTCAGTAAAATATAAATTAAAAAAAAAAATAGTGTGTCGCGAAAGCGACTATCTGCAAAGGCTCCTGTATTGGGGCTGAAAGGTGAAGGCTGAAGCAGTGTGCTTCATCCCATATTTGGGTGGACCAGGTTACCCTCATAGACCAGTTTCACCAGAAAACACTTAACCTGTCCCCCTGGTACAGCTGACAAAGTAAGGAGAGCCCATGGCTTAGAGGTTAATACATCTACCTAATATGCTAGTAGCCAGGATTCAAATCCCAGAAAGCGTATGGCTAGCTGATGAGAGCTAAAGAGCTGAACAGCTTGAAATAGATCTATACTAGTCTCTCTTTATTGTAGGAATTTAGGTTCCTCCTCCACCTACACACAAACAGATTAATGTCACCATTGGGTCAAGAATATCTTCTCTCCTTGCAACTACATGACATTACCACTAATCATCAGATAGGTGGACTGGTTTGGCTGGGCTGCTGCAGCTTCTTTACAGCTAAGCTTAGCATTTTCTTTTGGAAGCTACATATCTGCAAGCTGAAACAGCACAGTTACAATTCTTCTGTCAACTCCACTTGCTGCTGGCCAAAATAACCAGTCAGTTTCCTTTAACATATTATAGCTGCTCTGCTGGCTTCCTTTCATGTGGAAGATCTGTCTAAATCAGCTAAAGCATTAGCCCAGTTCATCTCTCTGGAGCTTTTCATGCTTTCTCTCTCTGGGACTGGGTTACCCTAAATGAAGCCACCAGAGAGCAATCCATGGATGCAATAAGAGCAGAAAAATAACTACATTTTGCTGCTCTAATTGTAATGCTATCATTGTTAATAAAGGCTGTTAGCAGTGTTTAAACAGGTTCATTTTTCATCATCTTCTAGTAGCACTATTAAGTGTCTCAGCCTAGAGAAAGCAACTCGTTAAGGCAAAAAAGAGGTGACACCCTGAACATTTGTTTATGAGTGCATGACAAAAATGGGAGTGACATAAATGCTGCCCTTGATTTCAGTTGGGTTGCATATAGCCATCAAGCCGCAACTGCTCCGTCTTGACTTTGTAGAGATGCCTCCATCCTTTTGAGGGATTTCAGGAACAATTGTGTTCCTCTGGCAGATACATTCTCTTATTCCATAATTTAAATAATGCTTTCTTCTATTAGTATATATTTAAAGTTCCAATAAAGTTGGCACTGACGATGTTTTGTGCAGATGCTTATTTTTATCTGCATTGTGGCATTTTAAAAATTTTGAATATTAGGAATATTTTTTTACTTAAAAATCTTATTGAAAAGCTAGAAATGTTTTCCTTTTAATATATGACCAAAAACAAAAAAACCTATGGGTTTTCATTCATTTCGGAGAGAATATAAATCATTTGCACTATGTTAGGCCTCTAAAAAATATAACCTATCTTGTGCTACATCCTAAAACATTTTATATAGCTATTTTTTCATTCTTTCTTTGTTTGGAATATATTATAACTTTTTTCCATTTAGCCACTTTTTGTCATTGTCTTCCAAGACCATGCTTAGTGTGCAGTAGTACATTGTACTATAATAATGATATATTATACTTTTGGATCAGTGGGGTCCTAGCTGTGTAAATCAAGATGTTGGACAGTTATTCCATCTTTTTCTTCCTGGGCCATTTTTTTTGGGGGGGGGGGGGGTGGTGGTAAAAGGAAAACAAAGGGGAAAAAAAGAGTTAGAAGTTGAAGGATGGTATCTTTTGTAAAATTCAAAAAATGTGGAAAGACATTGTCTATTGTATGAGAAAAGCTTCATTTACAAGAATTCAATGTGCTCTGTTTACCGTAGCATAATTTTCTTCCATGTGTCAGTCAATACTTAATTACTAACTCAAGGCCATATTCATAAACAAAATGAATACAATGAATTGAAAAATATTTTCTAGACACATTTTAATCCGTGAATGTCTGCAGATGGGTAATTACAATTTTGTAACTTCTGCCAGTCTATTTTTAAAACAACTTCAGCCCGAGATATTTTGAACTATATCTCACTGAGCTCTATGTGACTTTAGGCTTATTATCTTTAAGAGATGATGATTTAATTATATGTTCTAATTGTTTCTTTTTTTGTATATTTTGTTTAGGTGCAGAAGTGATAAATGTAAATTTAACTGCTTATAATGATGGTCATTTGCAGTCATCCTTCTGGATTGTGGATAAGCAACATGTATACATTGGAAGTGCCAGTTTAGATTGGAGTTCACTGGGGCAGGTATTAGTTCTTTAAACTGCAAAGTAAATTCTTAAAAAACCATAGTTAACTTTGTTGAGGAAGAAACAGCCATTGGCTTTTGAATATGTGGATCATTTATGTTATAGTTAATTATTTCATTCATGATATAATTCTGGAAATTGTGCTGTTGTTAACTGAATATTCTACAATTAGATAAAGTAATATGATACAATAGGCTATATGGCAACCTCTACTACTATTATTAGTATTATTAGCTTTAGTAGGCTGTTTCAATTGCCCATGTACCAGTCAGATTTAACAGATAATCAGAGTTGGAAGGGACCTTGTAGGTCATCTAGTCCAACCCCCCGCCCAAGCAGAAGACCCTACACCATTTCTGACAAATGGCAGTCCAATCTCTTCTTGAAAGTCTCAAGTGATGGTGCTCCCACAACTTCCGAGGGCAAGCTGTTCCATTGGTTGATTGTTCTCACTGTCAGAAAGTTTCTCCTTGTTTCCAGGTTAAATCTCTCCTTGTTCAGTTTCCATTCCATTATTCCTTGTCTGGCCTATAGGAGCTTTAGAAAATAGCTTGACCCCTTCCTCCCTGTGGCAGCCCCTCAAATATTGGAAGACTGCTATCATGTCTCCCCTAGTCCTTCTCTTTACTAGACTAGCCAAGCCCAGTTCCTGCAACCGTTCGTTGTATGTTTTAGCCTCCAGACCCCTAATCATTCTGGTTGCTCTTCTCTGTACTATATCTGGAGTCTCAACATCTTTTTTATAATGTGGTGACCAAAACTGGATGCAGTACTCTAGGTGTGGTCTTACTAAGGCTTTATAGAGTGGTATTAGTATTTCCCTTGATCTTGATTGTATCCCTCTGTTAATACAATTTAGGATTGCATTAGCTTTTTTGGCTGCTGCTGCACACTGCTGGCTCATATTTAGCTGGTTGTCCACTAAGACTCCAAGAACCCTCTCACAGTTACTGCTATTGAGCCTGGTTTCACCCAGTCTATATGTGAACTTTTGGTTTTTCTTGCCTAAGTGTAGGACTTTACTTTTCTCTACACTGAATTTCATTTTGTTAGATATGGCCCAGTGTTCTAGTCTGTCAAGATCCATCTGGATCTTGAGCCTATCTTCTTGGGTGTTAGCTATTCCTGCCAGCTTAGTATCATCTGCAAATTTGGTAAGTTCCCCTTCTATTCCCTCATCTAAGTCGTTAATGAAGATATTGAAGAGTACTGGGCCTAAGACAGAACCTTGTGGCACCTCACTGCTTACTTCATGTAGACTTAGACCCAGTAAAGACTACTTGTTGAGTACGGTTTGCCAGCCAGTTGCGAATCCATCTAGTAGTGGTGCTATCTATTCCACTTTTTTCTAGCTTACTAAGAAGTAGGTTGTGGTCTACTTTGTTGAATGCCTTGCTGAAATCTAAATATATTATGTCAACAGTATTTTGCTGGTCTACTAATTTAGTCACTATGTTGAAGAATGAAATAAGATTGGTTTGGCATGATCTGTTTTTAACAAACCTGTGCTGACTGCTAGTTATTACTTTACTTGTTTCTAGATGTTGGCAGATCTGTTTTTTTATTATCTTTTCCAGTATCTTCCCGGGTATTGATGTTAGGCTGATTGGTCTATAATTTCCTGGGTCTGTTTTTTTTCCTTTTTTAAAGATGGGAACCACATCAGCTCTTCTCCAGTCCTCTGGTAGTTCCCCGGTGCTCCAGGATTTTTGAAAGATATGGTTCTCAGTGGTTCTGAGATGACCTCTGCCAGCTCCTTTAAAACTCTGGGATGTAATCCATCAGTCCCTGGTGATTTGTTTTCATCAAGATCAGACAGCTGTTCTCTTACTATTTTTTTTTTACTATTTTTTATTTCGTCTGTATGTTATTCTCCCATGTATAACACTTTCAGCAGTTAGATCCTCAAGAAGCATATAAATGGGACACAAAGTGTTTCTCCTCCAATAGTCCTTCTATGTCTTCTTCATACTGCTAGTAGGAAATTATTTTAAAGAACTCTTCTGCAGTTAATAATCTGTTTGGAAAATAATTACTTCAGAGAGCAGTGCAGCAGATTTATAAGTTTATAGTCAACAATCAATGACGTCATTTTCCAGATCTAATGCTTATGTTACTCTGGGTCTATGTGAAATTTGGCAGATACTAGCTTCTTCACTACTATAAAATGTAACAGATTGGATGACATTTTCCCCCAACATCCATTTCCTAAATAATTGATTGTTTGAAGCAACTCAGTTGCAGACCCAAATGACACCGCAGATAAAGAGAGAGAGAAACTCAGCGCCACGGAATCCTGATCCTATTCCACTACTGCTTTTCTTTTTTGTACCACCAATCGTCAGGCAAAAGTATCATGTTTTCCCAAATCTTCTAGATGACATAGGGAATGTATTAGGCTTGTGCAAGCTTCTCTTCAGCACATCTCTGTGAAAAGCAAGATGATCTATCCCTTGCCGGCAGTACAGCATCAGACACAAACAAGTGCTAACTATTAAGTGGTGGTAATCCAAATGGCTGCAATGCAGAATATCACTAAAGAGCCAGACAAGTGAACACAATGTATGGCCATTCTAGATGGATATATAAATATGTCTCATCATGCTGTGCAGCTTCACATATCTGCTTTGATGGAATTATTTGATCAAATGACCTTCAGATGAAATCACTACATCTGTCAGGCTGCCACAGAGACAAAGACAAACATGGTTAGCAATTTATCTCAACGTATCTCAGGGAATGAGGCTACAACAGATGGTTCCCAGCCATTGAACAAATTGTAAATTTAGTTTACAATTAGATCAGATTAGATCAGATTTTGAGCTGTCAGAAGAGGAGACTTGAATTTGATCTTATCTCAAAATCTCTAGTTTACTAATCTTGATCTGCCATTCAGATTAGACTACTAAACTAGACAGGGAATCACTAATTAAGCTCTGATAAGATTTTACATGTGTTTAGCCATGGTTTTGTGTTTCTTTGTGTGTTGTGTTTTATTTCTCAGACAAATTGTTAAATGCAAAAGTTAGTTTGGCCTTTTAGAAATGTCAGAAAGTGAGCCTTATGCATGTTTAATCCAATGTATTTTTATGGGAGTTGTTGAGTCTTGATTTTGTTGCTGGCTTCTAAATAAAAAATATATATTTTTCATTGTTTTCTATCCACTTGTTTTTGTAGCCCTGTTACCAAAAGAAACAAGAGGCAATTCTCATTGTTTCCTATAAATCAGACATTTTATGGCCCGCAGGCCATATCCAACCTGCAGGCTGTTCCAGCCCAAACTGCAGTGGCAGGCATTGGTGGCAGAGGGCAGGGTGTTATCGGCAGTGGGTGGGTGGACCATTGGCAGCATTGGCAGGATTTTGGCAGCAGGGGTGGGATGTCAGCACTGGCAGCCCTCCACAACAGTTCCAGTTTGTCATGTGCCCCCTTGGGAAAATTAAGTAAAAATAATTTTAATCCTAAAAGAACAGATTAGTGCTGTTGTTTCAAAAGAGAGGTAAACTCATGTTTATAAAGAGTCTGCATAAGATGTGACAAGTGCTTTCATATATTATGAAATTTAACTACATTTTTCATAGTTGTAAAAAAATAATAGTATAAGAAATGATTCCATATGTGAATTAAAATTAACATAATGAATATATTCAGCTTCTGAAGGAATAAAATTGTCACAATAGAAGAATGATCATTTTTGCATATATGTTTAATATTGAAAGCAAATAATTTCTTCAGGAGTCATAATTTCAAACTTCACAGCCTCAAAGCACCCCTGAAACACCCCTGTGCTGTACCCATATTTTGCTTAGCTCTTTTCCAATCATCTTGTCCCATGGAGGGATCAGAATCTAAGCTTTGGACTATTTGTTCCTTATCATACACTGCTTTTTCTCTGGCACTAGAGTAGACTTTCTTGTAAGTTTGACATACTAGTCGAGATGTACAGGAGTTAGTGGAAAATACAATATGTTCAGAGCATCATATTTGATACAGAATGAAGTTGACACTAGAAATATAGAGTATTATGTTGACCTGCAGATGTGAACCAAGGAGAATTTTGTAAATGAATAATTTTCCAGGAATTGGAATTGTTGTGCAATCATTTAATACTTATATTGTATATTCACTGTGCTATTTTTTTATTATAAAATGATTTAAATTAAAATATAAAATAGGCATGTGCTGAAGCTCTGTCTCTCTCAGGATTCAGTAAGCAGAATTTACTATCAGCTTACAAGCTATTTGTTATAATATGCTATTTATTACTGATTATTTCCAGCACCAACAAATAAATACAAAGGAAGACAAAACAATAGGATTCCAGTTTAGACTGAGATGCTCAACATATGCATATATATATTTCAACATAATAGACTTTGCAGCAAAAGAACATAGATCTACAGAGGACGCTATAGCCATCACTCTTCACACTGCTCTGACTCATCTAGAACAGCGGTGGGGGGGGGTATGTGAGGATGCTTTTTGTGGATTTTAGTCCTGTGTTTAACACAATTCTTCCACATAGACTAATATCTAAACTTCTGGACCTTGGGCTTTCTAATTCAATCTGCCTTTGGATTATGGATTTCCTGTCTGGCCGCTCACAGAGGGTCAGATTAGGTAATCATATCAGTTCAGCCCTTATTCTTAACACTGGTACACCACAGGGTTGCATGTTGAGTCCCTTACTCTATACTCTTTATGTGCATGACTGCATTCCCACTCATGCTAGTAATACTATTGCTAAATTTGCAGATGATACAACAGTGGTGGGACTTATCTCCAGAGGGATGAGGTGGACCAGTTGCTTTCGTGGTGTGGAGACAATAACTTGGTCCTCAATACCAATAAGACCAAGGAGATTATAGAAGGAACAGATCAGACATCTAGCCCTTGCTTATCAATGGAGACCGAGTGCAGCAAGTGGCCAATTTTAAGTTTCTGGGTGTTACCCTAAAAGAGGACCTGACCTGGGGTGCCAACATTGCAGCCCTGGTCAAAAGGGCCCAGCAGAGATTATACTACCTGAATGAAAAACTGCTGATGACCTTCTTCCGCTGCATCATAGAGAGCATTTTAACATACTGCACCTCTGTATGGTTTGCCAGTTGCACAGTGGCAGATAGGAAAGCACTCCAGAGGATTAATGTCATTGCCCAGAAGATCATGGTCAGGATCATGATGTGCACTGAAGATGGTGTTTGACTTTATTGTACGAGGTGCAATGATAATAAAGTAAACTAAACTAAGCATCTAATAATCACATCATTTGTCATTTGAAGCTCTTATAATAGACAATGTGTCTAGTAATACATACTTTGATTTCACAGATGAAGGAGCTTGGCATCATTGTATACAACTGCAGTTGCTTGGTTTTAGATTTACAAAGGATATTTGCCTTGTACAGTTCCTTGAAATCCAAGAGCAAAGTTCCACCCACTTGGTCTAAAAGACTGTATGCAGTGTATGGCACTAAAAATAAGCTGCCTCTTAAGTTGAATGAAACCAAGTCAGAAGTCTTTGTCTCAGTGAGTATTTTTGTTCTTGTTTTTAGATAATGTTAAGCTGCTACCTGAGTTGCTCCACCCTAAAATTATATCCCTAACATACTCAATATTTGCAAACCCAATAGTGCAATAAATTTATTTATTTATATACCAAACTTATTAACCACACATCTCCTCATAGATGCCATTAGGGTGAAAACATTGTTAGCAGGAAGCAACATATTCCTGTAGTGAAGACTTGCATCTTTATGTGTGAGAAGAAGGTTTGTTGGTACATGATATGGGATGTCCTCAGAGTCTACTCTTCAGTGATTTCCTTTTACCCAGAAAAATTAAGTTAGCAATAAGGAATAAAAATGAACTTAAAGGAGAAGATGTGCTTCTAAGGAAGTGCAGATACATCTAAGACAGGGCTGTCAAACTCTCAGCCCATGGGCCAGATGTGTCATGCTCTGGCCATGCCCATGCCTGGTTTGGCAAAGGGGGAAAAGTCCCGATATATTACGTGATGCTGCTGCGACGATGTGAGTTTGACACTCCTGATTAAGATATGTCTATTAGTAAAGCAATGTTAGGAACTTTGGTGGTAATACAGCAGCCCATCTCTGAAATCTTTGGGCCTATGAAAGCAAGCAGAACATAGTGATCTTTGTTCTAACAGAAAAGACAACCAAATCAAACACAGCTCTATTACTGATAATTTTATTTGTAATTATAATTGAATATTCCATCTTTACCCTTCTCTTTCCTCTTTCTTTGCCTTTAAAATAGTTCTTTTCTTACAACAATAGTTACTTAAATTATAAGATTTAGAAGCCAAGGTACTATTATATAGATCAGGCTCCTCAAGTCACTAATCAATTTTATTTTAAAACTGCTAATTCCTTTTTTTTTTTTGCAAAACAGCCTTTCTTGACTGCAGCCTAAAGTGTAATTTTCTCTATAGTATTTTATGTTGTAATCCTAATATTGGCCCTGTTGGTGATCATAAGGGAAGATGCTGGATATTATTGTGTGATACCATTATCTCAATAACAACGGGAATTATTAGAAAATTCCCATAAATTTGTTGAACATAGCCTGCAGTTGAAAGGAAAGATTCTTTTTCAGCTTAACCAAGGCACAGGTGAATCCCTCCAAATTTGAAACTCAGGTCAGAGGCCTATTGGGGAATGTTTTGAGCTTCTGAAAGCTGCCCTGATGAGCATCGATATGTAATATTTGTACTCCTTTGTTAAACCCCGTTCAGTTACAGACATTGCCAAACGACAAAAGTAATAAACGTATTTGACATTCTATGATCATTGTTGATTTGAAACTTGTTCGAACCTTCTTTAAAAGGGAAATGGATTTTAAAGTATTTCTCTTTGTGGAAACTCATGTGTATAATTATGGTGCTCCATGATGCCTTATGCCAAGACCTGGAAGAACAATCAATTTTTAGTAATTTCCTGAATGTCATACAGGTGAAATCCAGGTGAATCTCTGGGAAGAATGTTCCAGAGGGCAGAAGATGCAACATAATAAATCTTGCATCATAACTAAAGTATAGTTAATATTAAATATTTTAGCTAATGATATTGCTGAAATATTTTTTAATTTTTAAAATGTTTTTATTTATTTTTATGTTACTCTAATGTGAACTCCTTAGAATCTTTTGATTTGAATCAGAAATGAATAAAATAACACAAGAACCCTTCTGGTCACACAAATGGAAAAAAACAACGGTTTTTTTATTCTAGCCCCTGTTGCATTTGCTCTGGAGTATCCCCAATTTATCCAGAGAAAATTATGGATTTTGTAGTTGCAAACATATATATTTAATTATGTTCAAGATTCCATTACAGCTAATGATGGATTTTGCAACTACATGATTTAAATAACTTCTGCATTATTTATTTATGCAGAATAATTATGAACACCTTTATTAGAGAAATCAAAGATAACAATTATATCCTGGTTTTCAGAACAGAAATACTTTCATGGTAGCATATAAGTAACATAAAATATATTGATAAAACATCATGATAAACACTATTAAGATATTAAAAGTTATACATGCCATCTTGTTACAGGTGTGAGTACATTGGTTTTATAATTCTACCCTGAAATGAGATCTTCTATATTTCTGTTAATATATTTTTAACCTTTTCTCCACAGAATTCCCCAAAGCTCCTATGCCCTAAAGACAGGACTTTGGATACTGATGCAATCTATAGTGTGGTAGATAATGCTGAAGAGTTTATATATATAGCTGTTATGGACTATCTGCCTATTGTTAATATAATAAATGAGACAAGGTGAGTAGACACCATAAATCTTCATTATGTGTTGTTATATTAATATAAAGACATTATATTTTCTGAGAAAAGCATTTGGTAAGAACTCTCTTTCCCAGTTTAGCACATTCAGGAGCTTATGTTGTAGAGTGATTAAAATGTTAGGACTAAGATAGAGAAGAACCAATTTCAAACCTACCCTCAAGCATTCAAATTCGCTGGATAACATTAAGCCCTATTTCATAGGTTTGTTGTAAGAATGGAATGAAAGAACATGTCCTTATGTATTCCCTGGAATTCCTGGGGGAAATACAAATATAAATCTAACAAATGAATAATATATTCTAATAGTAATAGGACGTCCGTTTCCAGAATTCCTATGATACTTCTTGGCTGGAAACTGTAGAGGATGTAAATCCCAACTAAACTGAAAAGTAGCAAGCCTGCAAAGGTTTAAAGATTTTGTAGATTTTGCTGAGCACACCTGAGATTCAGTCACAAATCCTGCAAAAAAATTTTTTTTTATTTCTTTGCAGTTCTATAGCTAGTATATTTCATCATGTTGATAAGTAATTGGTCATGTACTATCAAAATGTAATTTATTTCCTAATTTTCCAAGTTAATGTTTATTTTTAATACATCATTTATTCAGACTTGTTACCACACATTATGTTTGAAATGGGAAAATATATAACTTGATTTCTTAATGTGACCTGTCAATTAGAAGTGATTTCTAGCAGAATCACTGGTTTTTTTATGTGCACATGAAGTCCTAAGGAAAAAACGATCTAACCAGCCCTCGTATCCCTGAGTCAGTATAACCATGAAAAATTCTATTTTTTTTCTATGCAAGAAAAAGAAAAGAAACTACATCATTACCTCCAATTCTAAAAGTTCTAATAAATTTGATAAAATGCCATTGGGCTTCACTCCTTGGCTAATACTATTCTAAATTGTGACTGAAAAAAAAATAAAAAATACCATATCATATTACCAGACTGATAATAGAAAATTCTCCTACAACACTTGTATTTTAACTAATACAACCAGGATCATTGTCACATTCCTAGCTCTACTTTTATCCATTCTTGGACTTCCACTGTATTGTCTAGCCATACAATTTGACCTTGACAATTCTACTATACTTCTTTTTCTCAATAAGTTGATAAGATCTACCTTTTTCTTAGCTTTCAGGAATTTCAATGTGAGAGATTGTATGAGAGTCATGGTACTTCAGAATTGCTTGGTTAGGGTTTTGGTTTAGTTATTACATCACAAATCCTGGCTTTTCATAAAAAAAAATTGAATAACATAGGCTGTTTTTTTATAGGTATTGGCCTTTTTTGGATGGAAAGATAAGAGAAGCATTGATTCTACGTAATATTAAAGTGCGACTCCTTATCAGTTTCTCCAAAGAAACAAATCCCCTCACTTTTAACTTTATTTCATCTCTTAAAGCAATTTGCACTGAGGTTTCTGACTGTAGTTTAAAAGTTGTAAGTATTTCTCCTCTTGTTTGTTTATGTAGCTAAAACAATATTCTAGTACATTTCTTTAGCAATTGTGTTGAATCTCAATCATATGAATTTCAATGTAAACTCACAGCAAAATAAAACATAGTCTTCTTTCCTCTCAATATAATAATGGAAAGCTAAGATCATTATTTCAAGTTTCCATATTATTCTCACTGCCCATTCTCTGCTCAGATTGTGTTTGATTCCCCTCTTGCCAGTTAAGCATGGTTACAATTGTGGTATATATGTTGATTCTTTGATTCTATGAATCTTTCATAATTTTCTTCATAATATGAGTGGAGAAGACTTCTCAGAATATTGTTTCTTCTTTACCTAAAATCTAAAGAGTTGTTCAGATGTATTGTTCAGTAATATTATTCCTCTTCTCCTATAGCAAAGTCCTCAAAAGAACTATTGTAACTTTTCCCCCCATGAGTACAGCACAGCTTTCTCTTGTATTTTAAAGAGGAAGGTTTTGATTCTTTTTAAACTAATTTAAACTATAGTTATGTCCAATCTCAGACAAACTGGGTTAGGTTTTCAATGTGATTTGGGAACACTATTTGTGGTTTAGGAAATTGCTTATTTCTCTAATCCAGAAAAAAATAATAAAGCTAGTATCAATGAACTGTAACTGAAAATCTTTCGGTCTTTTATTTTGGGCTGTATCAAAATAATAGTGGGGAATTAGGGTACCAATTTGAGGACATGCTACTTAGTGTCTTTATGAATTACAGGTAGTCATCGACTTACAACAGTTCATTTAATGACTGTTCAAAGTTACAACGGCACTGAAAAAAGTAACTTATGCTTGTTTTTCACACAACAATTGAGCATCCCCATGGTCATGTGATCAAAATTCAGATGCTTGACAACTGACTCATATTTATGACAGTTGCAGTGTCCTGGGGTCATGTGATCTCCTTTTCTGACCTTCTAACAAGCAAAGTCAATGGAGAAATCTCATTCACTTAACAACCATGTTACTAACTAAACAACTGAAATGATTCATTTAACTGTGGCAGGAAAGGTGCTAAAATGGGGCAAAACTCACTTAACAAATGTTTCACTTTGCAACAGAAATTTTGGGCTCAATTGTAGTCATAACTTGCGGACTACCTATACTTACTGTTTACATAATCACAACTAGCAACAAAGTATCAAGCTTTTGAAAATCAACTTGTCTATTAATGTGGAAATTTTGCAAAATGCAATCAAAACTTATAACTCTTCTTTATATTTAGGTTATTTCATAATGTTTTTATAGATTTTATTTTCCTTTTTCCAAATCTGATAGGTCAGCATTTTTCAATTTAAAGTTCCTCCAGCAATTTGGAGATTAGCTATATCTAAGTGAGGTTTTTTTTTATTTAATGCAGAAATTCTTTGACCTTGAATCAGAAAGTGCATGTTTTATTAAGGAGCCAAAAAGCTCTTCTCTTCTCAAGGTAAATCGCAATAAATATGTGGTGACTGAAAGAGCTGCTTATATTGGTAAGTAAAGAATTGAATGAGCCAGTTGCTGTCTGGTTATTTGTATATTATTTGTAGCTTTGCATCTAGAATAACTGATTAAGTATAAAGCATTTGAAGAATGAAAATCTAATTTATATAATAATTTATATAAAATTTTGCTTTATTAGTAAACATTAGATTTGAAAGAATTAGCATGTGACATAATCTGCTTATTTATGAAGTTGAGATTGTCATGAAGAAAGTAAATTTAATCTGCCTCTATATTAAATATAAAATGTCAAAAGTGTTCAGCCTGAAGTTTAATTAAGAAAAAGAGTTGTTGTTCTTGAGGAATGTTTTCCAATTGTTACATAACTTTGATTGTCCTTTCATTTACCTTATAGGTAATTTTGACTGGGTTGGGACCTATTTTAATCAGAATGCTGGAGCTGGTCTTGTCATCAATCATGCAGACACAGGGAACAAAACCAGCATAATTAAGCAACTTAAAGCTGTGTTTGAAAGGGACTGGTATTCACATTATGCTAAAAGTTCAACAGCAAAGATCTTAAACTGTCTAATCTACAAACACAGCAAAGCCGCAGCCAATAAGTCTGCCATAAGCAATATGAACTGACGCCCCTTGTACAGTATCACAGCCAAGGGAGAAATAGAGTAGGACTGATGCTGACTCCCACTTTCTTATTTATGGACATTAGACTTTTTAAAAAATAATAAAAATATTTATAGTAAAAAAGCACACTTATATAAAATGTTCTTTAAACTATATTCTGTATACTGTATTATTTACAAATATTAGATTTGTTACTGCTGACAATGAATGTCTTTTCAGCTTTGTTATTGGTTTGGACATATTCATATTTAAAAGCATGTTGGATTCTTTAGTTTAAAGGTTATCTCTACCTCTCTCTGCTATATAGTAAAATGTATATACAAAGCAAGTTTGATTATGGAAAAAAATTCTTAGAACAGTTGATAGTAAGTGCAGATTTCCCTCATTCCCACAACTGAAGTACATACAAAGCCTGTATTATATAAATACCGGTAGTATATTGCCAGTTTAAGATAATGATTGTCCATCTGAATTTATAATGCTATATCCAACCCATTTATATTTAAATGACCTATTATTATTTGACCCTCTAAAATAAAATTGTACAGGGAATAGTTCTAATCAACCATAATCATTACTGTCTGCCAGTCATGCACTAATCTACTTTGATTTTCTAGTTTTTTTAAAAAAAATGCTTTAATCTCTACAAAATACATTTTTATTTTTTAAAATATGAGACAACAGTAGGTTGCATGTAGCTTCACCTGCCATAATGAAGCAAAGTGCTTGTCTCTGCATAAAATCGTTTCTGCAGGGCTAAAGCTTGCTTTTATTTTGTGAAGCAATGGGGAACAATCCACTAGGATGGTGTTTCTCAAGCTTGGCAACTTGAAGAATTCCCCAACCACTTCAGTAGGGGCTCAGAGGAAATTCACCCCTTCTTTCCTTCCCAGGCAGCCCACAAGGGTGGATGAGCATTCACTCATGTCTCCCTCCTAATCTCCCATGTAATCCACTAAGCAATCCCTGATCTCCTGCAAAAGGACAGTATCATTCTGATGAGCTCCAACCCTAATCCTAACCCTTTTGAAGTCAGCAATTGTGATGCAAATGAATTGTGATATGAGGTTTACTCAAGCTTCTGATAAGATCCTAAGAGATCTTAAAATGAAGTTAAAAGTTAAAATGACTTGGGTGGTAGTTGATTATCGAATACCATGTTAGCAGAAAATGGCTTTATTTAAAAAAACATGGTGAGTTCTTCTGTTACTTAAGATGTTTATCCCTACTGTTCATGGAGAAATAATTGTTTCCACTTTAACATTTTTCAGATAAATATTCTTAGACTAACTTTTCTAGCATCTAAATGACTTTGTTTACTTTTTTTTTTAAAGCCAACTATATAACAATGTCACTTGAGTACCTCTTTTTAATAAACACAAATCCTTATAGATTTCTAAAGCTCACAACATAATCTATAGAATATCTGATTATAAAGTGGATTTAATTTTAAAATCTTAGATTCTGAGAAAGAGAAGCAGACTAATTAACATAACAAAAGAATTTTTTGTAGGCAAATGTAATATTTCTCATTTAAACTGCTTAACTCTCTACTAGCAAGCCGATTATTAGTATTTAAAATATTTTTTAAATAAATTCCTACTAAACTAAAATTAATCCGTCACTTTTCCCCAACAAAGTGAAAACAGGAAAAATAGGGCAGCCTTATACCATAGTTCTAGGGCAATTTTTGCATGTATACAATTATATTTTTGATTTGTGATTATTATAACAGCCAAGGTGTTGTGATAGGTTGGAAAAGTTGCTCAGAAGCTGTATTTTCATGTCAAGTTCTGGGAAATTATCTATAAATTGTTATGAGTAGCCATTTGTCAAAAACCCATCACTCCCATTCATATTCTTTCACTATAGATATGAGCTTCCAAATTTCAGCTTGCTTAATATTGAGGCAAGGTATTCAGCGTTGATAAATTCAGTTACTTTCTTCTGGCTGAGCAGGAAAGTTTAATTTGAAGTGGAAAGTGAAAGCACCAACTTTCAGAGCTAGCTGGTATGATACATAGTAAGGGTTGCAATGATGTTGGAAGAAGATTAATGGAACACCAGAGACTTTTAGATTATTCACTGAGTCTCTTCATATCAGTCAGAAGTAAACTGACTTCAGCAGGGTGAATGTGGATAGAATTGCACTCCAAAGCTTTCTTTTAATCTGATTTCCTAAAGTTACTTATTGCAGACATATTCTCCTCCTTTTGTTCATCACATCCATTATTTTAGTCTAGAATTTTTATGTTCTAATGATGCTGAACTCCTTCTAGCACTGTGATTTCTGACAGAACAGAATATTTGTAGCTCAGGGTTGAAATGAGGGATCCTTGGTGCTTTCTGAGCTTGGTTGTTTTCTTGCAGACATTTCATTACGCAAACTAGGAAACATCATTAGTGCACTGATGATGTTCCCTACTTTGAGTAATAAATTGTCTGCAAGAAAACAACCAAGCTCAGAGAGCACCAAGGACCCCTCAGTCTGTGATTTACCTATAGAAAAGTCCTTAACAATATATAATTCAGTCATCCTGTTTAATGTTTATTGAAACAATAGAGGTGTTCATGCACAAAATGTGCTTTGTTTCCTGCACAGAACATCATGATTTACAAGAGCATTGTGATTTGCAAGTCTTGTCATGGCTGCCTGATTTATTTTTTCACATATCTCATATCATAAAGCTTTTATATAGCTTAGTAGATATGTAAAAAAAAAAAAAAAATCTGGAATCCAAAGGAGCTTTGCATTATACAGACATAGGATGTGAGATTTTCAAGCTGCAAAAGTCAAGGGGGACAGCTAGATAGTTAAACGTAAACTGATCATTGGAGGGAAGAGTCAGATTCTTTAAATATTTACACTCCCCTTCAAAAATATTGTGTCCTGGTGGCATTCCCTTCCTATTCCTGCAATAATAATAATAATAATAATTGTGGTTTCTATACGAAAGAAAGATAGACAAACACTTTTGAGAAACAGTGCCTCCTTGCTGGCTGCCATCCAAATTGCTCAGCAAATAATTCTTTGACACTTGAAGTGCTACAGAAAATTGCCACAACTTCAAAAGCTTTGTGGCAGAATGCACTACTAGCTGAATCACACATAAATACACTGCTCAAAAAAAAAATAAAGGGAACACTTAAACAACACAATGTAACTCCAAGTCAATCACACTTCTGTGAAATCAAACTGTCTACTTAAGTGGCAACACTGATTGACAATCAATTTCACATACTGTTGTGCAAATGGAATAGACAACAGGTGGAAAGCATAGGCAGTTAGCAAGACATCCCCAATAAAGGAGTGGTTCTGCAGGTGGTGACCACAGACCACTTCTCCGTTCCTATGCTTTCTGGCTGATAGTTTGGTCCCTTTTGAATTCTGGTGGTGCTTTTACTCTAGTGGTAGCATGAAACAGAGTCTACAACCCACACAAGTGGCTCAGGTAGTGCAGCTCATCCAGGATGGCACATCAATGCGAGCTGTGGCAAGAAGGTTTGCTGTGTCTGTCAGCGTAGTGTCCAGAGCATGGAGGTGCTACCAGGAGACAGGCCAGTACATCAGGAGATGTGGAGGAGGCCGTAGGAGGGCAACAACCCAGCATCAGGACCGCTACCTCCGTCTTTGTGCAAGGAGGGACAGGAGGAGCACTGCCAGAGCCCTGCAAAATGACCTCCAGCAGGCCACAAATGTGCATGTGGCTGCTCAAACGGTCAGAAACAGACTCCATGAGGGTGGTAAGAGGGCCCGACATCCACAGGTGGGGGTTGTGCTTATAGCCCAACACCATGCAGGACGTTTGGCATTTGCCAGAGAACACCAAGATTGGCAAATTCACCATTGGTGCCCTGTGCTCTTCACAGATGAAAGCAGGTTCACAATGAGCACATGTGACAGACGTTACAGGGTCTGGAGATGCCGTGGAGAACATTCTGCTGCCTGCAACATCCTCCAGCATGACTGGTTTGGCAGTGGGTCGGTAATGGTGTGGGGTAGCATTTCTTTAGGGGGCCGCACAGCCCTCCATGTGCTTGCCAGAGGTAGCCTGACTGCCATTAGGTACTGAGATGAGATCCTCAGACCCCTTGTGAGACCATATGCTGGTGCAGTTGGCCCTGGGTTCCTCCTAATGCAAGACAATGCTAGACCTCATGTGGCTGGAGTGTGTCAGCAGTTCCTGCAAGACGAAGGCATTGATGCTATGGACTGGCCCGCCCATTCCCCAGACCTGAATCCAATTGAGCACATCTGGGACATCATGTCTCGCTCATTCCACCAATGCCACGTTGCACCACAGACAGTCCAGGAGTTGGGGGATGCTTTAGTCCAGGTGTGGGAGGAGATCCCTCAGGAGACCATCCACCACCTCATCAGGAGCATGCCCAGGCATTGTAGGGAGGTCATACAGGCACATGGAGGCCACACACACTACTGAGCCTCATTTTGACTTGTTTTAAGGACATTACATCAAAGTTGGATCAGCCTGTAGTTTTTTTTTTCCACTTTAATTTTGAGTGTAACTCCAAATCCAGACCTCTATGGGTTGCTAAATTTGATTACCATTGATAATTTTTGTGGGATTTTGTTGCCAGCACATTCAGCTATGTAATGAACAAAGTATTTAATAAGAATATTTCATTCATTCAGATCTAGGATGTCTTATTTTTGTGTTCCCTTTATTTTTGTGAGCAGTGTATGTGATTGGAAAGGACTCAGGAAGTCATCTAGTCTAGCACCTTCCAGAAGCCTCAGATTCCCATCAGATGGCTCTGTTTAAATGCTTCTATGCAATCCACAGTGCACAAAAGGATGAGTGCATACTTATGTATGAGATAATTAATAATGCAGAGGGTACATGGATGGGTGTACAGTGACACAAACCCCACAGCCAATATTCCAAAAGCTAGCCAACCACACTGAATCTCTGATTTTTGAATTCATTCAAAAAAAATTTTTTTTAATTAAAAGATAGAGTCAAACCAAAGTAAACTGTTTA